CCCCCGCCAAGTCCCTCCCTCCCCGCCTTCAGGGTCCTAAGTCCATCTTGCCAGACAAGATGATGGCATTCCTTCAATCTCCTTCAAAGCCAACGAAAAGTTGACAGGCGGAAGCCGGATTTGACGCAGCGGAAGAATTCCTCTTTTTTTTGTGGCCACTATTGCCGTACAAAATTATTGTATTCGTGGACTAAAAATGCCCAAGGACTGTACAGTTTCAAATCACTGTCAATACATAAAAAAGTGTGAAACTGTTTGAAAAGTGGTGAAGTTTAACTCCAGGTTGAATCCCTAATCCTAGGTTAAAACCCTACTTGGAAACCATAACCAGAGTTGTAAACCCTAGTTTAAAACCCTAACTCTGGTTTAATACCCTACTTTGAAACTTTGCCAGACAAGATGATGACATTCCTTCAATCTCCTTCAAAGTCAACGAAAAGGTGACAGGCGGAAGCCGGATTTGACGCAGCGGAAGAACTCTTTTTTTTTGTGGCCACTATTGCCCTACAAAATTATTGTATTCGTGGACAACCCTAACCCTAGTTGGGAACCCTACTTTGAAACCCTAACCCTATTTGGGAACCCTACTTTGAAACCCTAACCCTAGTTTAAAACCCTAACTCTGGTTTAATACCCTACTTTGAAACCCTAACCCTAGTAGGAAACCCTACATTGAAACCTGAACCCTAGTTGAAAACCCTAACCCTAGTTGGGAACCCTACTTTGAAACCCTAACCCTAGTTTAAAACCCTAACCCTAGTTTAAAACTCTAACTCTGGTTTAATACCCTACTTTGAAACCCTACCCCTAGTTGGAAACCCTACATTGAAACCCGAACCCTAGTTGGAAACCCTACTTTGAAACCCTATCCCTATTTGGGAACCCTACTGTGAAACCCTAACCCTAGTTGGGAACCCTACATTGAAACCCGAACCCTAGTTTAAAACCCTAACCCTAGTTGGAAACCCTACATTGAAACCCGAACCCTAGTTGGAAACCCTACTTTGAAACCCTATCCCTATTTGGGAACCCTACTGTGAAACCCTAACCCTAGTTGGGAACCCTAACTATAGTTTAAAACCCGACCTTTGAAACCCTAACCCTAGTTGGAAACCCTAACTCTAGTTGGGAACCCTACATTGAAACCCTAACCCTAGTTGGAAACCCTACATTGAAACCCGAACCCAAGTTGGAAACCCTACTTTGAAACCCTAACCCTATTTGGGAACCCTACTTTGAAACCCTACCCCTAGTTTAAAACCCTAACTCTAGTTTAAAACCCGACTTTGAAACCCTAACCCTAGTTGGAAACCCTACATTGAAACCCGAACCCTAGTTGGAAACCCTAACCCTAGTTGGGAACCCTAACTATAGTTTAAAACCCGACCTTTGAAACCCTAACCCTAGTTGGAAACCCTACATTGAAACCCAAACCCTAGTTGGAAACCCTAACTGTAGTTTAAAACCCGACTTTGAAAATGACAACGTTGTCCACCACAAGTATTCCCAACTTATTTATTGGTGTTCTTTTTAAGTCTGAATAACATTTTCATCAAATACTGTGTTCCAACACGAGTTCCAACGAAATGGAAAAAAATAGTTTGCACTGTCAAATAAATACATTGATTTTGCCCATTTAAAAGAGCGAAAACGCCGGGGCGATTAATGGGTCCAGTCTTCGCGACTCCTTCCCGGAGGCACTCGGTACTTTAGAATTTGGAGTTGGGAAACTCGTTGGTTTGCTTGTCGTTGTGTGATCGCAAGTGTACGTTTAAATAATACTTAGAAGAAAAGCTTTGGTTGCAAAACGCGCATATGAAAGGTTTTTCTCCCGTGTGCCTTGCCGTGTGCGTGATCAAAGTCACCTTGTGCGTAAATTTGTCGCCGCAAATGGAGCAGGCGAAAGGTTTCTCCCCGGTGTGCGTTCTCATGTGCGACGTCATCTGCGACTTTTGAGTGCATTTTTTGCCGCACACTGGGCAACTGAAGCGTTTGTCGCCCGTGTGCGTCCTCGTGTGTAATTCCAGGTTGGACTTTTTGACAAAGCTTTTGTGGCAAACGGAGCAGCTGAAGGGTTTCTCGTTGGTGTGGGCCCTCCTGTGGCTGCTCCAGTGTTCTTTTCGAGAGAATCTCTGGCCGCACTCGGCACAACTGTAGGGTTTCTCGCCGGTGTGCGTCCGCATGTGCTCCGTCAACGTGAACTTGTACGAATACTTTTGACCGCAAACGGAGCAGGCGAAAGGTTTTTCCCCCGTGTGCGTCCCCGTGTGCGCGATTAAAGACACCCTGTGGCGGAACTTAGCGCCGCACACCCGACAAGCGTAGGGCTTTTCTCCCGTGTGCGTTCTCATATGGATGTTCAAATTGTGCTGACAAGTGAAAGTTTTAGCGCAAACCGAGCAAGTGCAGCACTTTTCTCCCGTGTGCGTCCACATGTGCGTGATCACATAATCCTTTCGGATAAATGTTTTTGCGCAAACTGGGCAGCTAAAAGGTTTGACGGCCGCGTGACATCTCCTGCGCGCCGGCTCCTTCTCTGAGCCTTCGCTGTCTCCCGGCCGGTCCGCGTCGCTCCGCCGAGGTTCTCCCGCAGTTTGGCTACGTGGCGGTGCGTCGGTGCCTCCAGGACCATTGAGCCACGACGTTTCGTCCGCTCGCTCTCGGCCGTCTTGGCTCTGGTCGATGATGAGCGTGACGGTCGGTGGCGACTCGCTGACGTCGGCTTCCTCCTCTTCCTCCTTGACAGGGACGACGGGATGCAAATCGTCTTGCTGCTCAACACGCTCCTGCGGCGGAGGGTCAAATTCTCGTGGAGGACCAATCATCTGCTGGACGCCTGTGCGACAAGAGCGGCACAAATGAAGTGAACCAGAAGAGATTAGGGCTGCCACAAACCATCTTTTGGGGAGGACACTACACATTGACTGGCGGCATGAGACGTAGTTTGCAGCATATCGCAGCAGCCCACATACGCTTTTACTATAGCTTTTAGTGTTTATGGCATGTCTAATTGCAAACTAAAAATAGAGTTCAATGATAGTGGTAGGGCAGTCAAGAAAAAATAAATATTTATTCAAATTTAAAAGGAGTGTGTTCATTTTTAGTTTTGTGGGAGCACAAAGCTTTGTGGGAGCACAAAGCTTAAAAGCATGGATGATGACGTTGATTATAAAATGAATTATCAACAATTTTGAACCATGACATAACAGTGACCAGTCCACTTATTTTGGCAGGCCAAAAGTAAACAAACGTATGTGGGGAGGGGAGGGGGGGGGAACAGACATTTCTCTAAGTATATGCCCTCACTCTCTCTGTGCAGGATGGCGCTTAAACATGCGCATTAATCTATTTTTTATTGGAAAAATACGTGCATCTAATTACATCGGAGGTAAGGTGTGGGTGGGGGGTGTTGTGAACAGACATATATGCTCTCAATTATTTCTTGTTTTACTTTGAAGGAACCGTTCCAACTTCCGGTGTGTCCACTATATATGCTGTATGTGTTAAGATACTTTACCCCTTTTTCTACAAAATTCTAATAAAGCAAGAGGCGTGTCACGCAGATTTTTCCTCCGTTTATCCAGCCGCCTTGAGGGGTGACACGCGGGTATACTGCATAAGTAAGCCGCTGACAACACCCCTCGTCACAATTGCCCACCGACCCGCTCGCCTCAGGAAACGCAAATAAAATTCGTTTCAAGTCCGACACACCTGGCATGCTCCACAGAATCGGGTGATCTCGGGCGGCAGCTTCCAGTTGTCGTCGTTGCCTCTGGTTCTCTTCTCTCGCGCGACAAAGTTGCTCCTCGTACGACGCCAGGCTGCTTTCAAACAGGCCGCAGATTTCATCGGCGGCCTCGTTCAGGCGCTCCCGAACCACATTTTTCAACATGTTTGTGGGGTTCTCTCCGTCGCTTTTGTTGACGTCGTCTTAGATTTTAAGCGAGGCTAACTTCCGCCCTTTTCTTCTTCTATGGTAGTTGGAACGGAATCGTCTCGTCGAAGAAAATCTTCTCTGTCGCCATCTTGCGACGGTACTGGCGAGTCAGAGAAAGACTTCATCGGTTATTCACCCATTCCCGACCCCACTGGTCACCAGAGCGTTTTCGTCTTTGATCAGCAGCAGCAATGCTTTCTTTTTATTTCAGTAATAAACAATAAACAGGATAAAGCAATAAACAGGATTCCGATTGCATTACTTGCAAAAA